CTTTGGCCACCTAATGAGAAGGAAGGACTCATTGGAGAAAAGCCTCATGCTGGGAAAGATTGTGGGCAAAAGAAGAAGGGGATGACAGAGATTGAGGTGGCTGGATGGAGTCACCGAAGCAGTAGGCTTGAGCTTAAATGGCCTCCAGAAGATGGTAGAGGACAGGAAGACCTGGAGAAACGTTGTCCATGGGATCACGATGGGTTAGACATGACATCGCAGCTAACAACAACATGTAATTGCTGTGAGTCAACAGCCAACTGATGGTACATAATCATCATCAAATTGGCCTTATTGCTGTATCAGCCTTTCTTATGGTCCAACCTTCCCAGCCCTCCATTGCAACTGGGAAAACCATAGCCTTGACTATACATACTTTTGTTGGCAGGATGATGCCTCTGCTTTTTAGTATGCTGTCTAGATTTGCCATAACTTTCCTCCCCAGGAGCAAGCGTCTTTTAATTTCTTGGCTGCGGTCACATAGATAATCTGAAATGAGAATTTGTCCCTAACCTGATCTTCCAGCCATTTCTTAAGGGAAGTGGTGGTCAACTCTGCACAGGTTCAAAGAGAAGTTGGGTTGCAATTTCTTCTGAACGATTTCGTTTGAATTCCAGCCTTGATGGGGTCAGGCTGAATCACCAAAATGGCCCCCTCTCAACTTTGTGATTCTATAAAGACAAACATATTGTGTGGGTTAGCTAGATGGTATGTTATATTATTATATAATATATATTTTGCAGTAAAATACACCCAGAGATATCTCCTGCAAATTGGTTCAGAAGAACACAGAGCGTGGTCAGTAGTTGTGGAATTGTTTCAGCTGGAAAAGAAGCAGTACAAAGAGAAGAGGGCAGGACAAGTGGCCTTTTAAGGGGGAAAAAAACCTGATGGTTGGGAGTGTGATTGTGTTAGGAGACCAACATCTCCGCTTACTTGCTTTCTATTATGTATTGAATGCCTTATTTACCCCTTGCTACTATTGCGTTCGGCCTTCCATCCTTCCGAAGTGGGTAAAATGAGGACCCAATATGATGACTCTGTAAACCGCTTAGAGAGAGCTGTAAAAGCACTGTGAAGCGGTATATAAGGCTAAGTGCTATTGCTGTTGCTATGTTGAATAGGAGTGAAATGTGTGCCTTTGCATAATATTGGACAGGTTTTACAAATCGATCAGTTCTGTGCCACCAATTCAGTTGTAACTTTAAAGCCACCTCATAGGTGTATAGTTATTTAATTTCTTAGCCCCCATATCACCATATATAGTAGTGAATACTCACATGGGGCGACTCATAAAGTTAAAACAATAAATAAATAACAAATAACAAAACCCTGAAACCAAACATTTAAAAATAATTAAAATAATAAAATAACAGCGCATATATGAGAAACAATACATGCATGTCACAGGTTGCATAATGCCACTTGTTCCCAGATCTGATACAGCATCATGTGTAAAAAGGTTAGTGAGATCTCCTCCAAGGTGATCTGCTCCCCGCCTGATCCTTCATCTCTTCCCACAGTGCTCCCTTCTATGCTGCAATCAAATCTATCCTCATGGCTGCTGGTTATTCGCTTTGTTTCTCTCTTTCTACCTTTGCCAGCATTACATTCTTGCCAAGCAGCTAGCCCTTTGCACATTAATAAAAATTATATTTAGTATCTTTGTAATGTATAATAATGAAGCATGTATGGAGATACATACTGTATATGCGGAAGGGGAATCAAAGTATAAGTATTGTAGAAAGCAAAATCTGGGTCCAGCATAGGTTGAATATAAGACAAAGTTTGACTTTGATTGGACAGAGAAAGCATTGAAGTGTAAGCTACATAATAAAAAAATAACTCTTAAATATCATTTACCACTTACGCCACATATCAAAAGGGGTTTCCTGGCTCGCATTTAGATTTTGGAGTTTATACTAGTAGATCATAAGTAGGATTGCAAGGTAAAGGTAAAGTTTCCACTTGCATATATGTGCTAGTTGTTCCCGACTCTAGGGGGCGGTGCTCATCTCTATTTCAAAGTCAAAGAGCCAGCGCTGTCCGAAGATGTCGCCCTGGTCATGTGGCTGGCATGACTAAATGCCGAAGGTGCACGGAGCACTGTTACTTTTCCACCAAAGGTGGTCCCTATTTTTCTACTTGCATTTTTACGTGCTTTCGAACTGCTAGGTTGGCAGAAGCTGGGATAAGCTTACTCTGTTACGTGGCGCTAGGGATTCGAGTCACTGAACTGCCGAACTTTCTGATCGACGAGCTCAGCGTCTTAGCCACTGAGCCACTGTGTGTCCCCCCCCCTTTTTTTGCAATTTTTTTGTAAAGGATTGCAAAGGACTATACAAGTACAGAACCTTTAAATTGACCCATTCGTTCTTGTTGATTTTGTTTTAGCTCGTCGGTTTACAGACAAGCACGAATGGACCGCTGTTGAAAACGGAATTGGAACTATAGGAATTAGCAACTTTGCACAGGTACTGTTTTTTTAATCTTCCCTGGTGCTGTTGGCATTGTCGGTTGGCCTTGCTCTTTGATTTCTCGATTGTCCTTACTGCCGTTTCTGCCTGCAAAGCCAGTTTGTGGACTTGGACCTCAGGGGCACCTGCCTGGAAAACAGGACTGAAAGGCCCTGGACGTGCCTTGGCCTCATCCCAGAAAAACTTAGAACCTGAGGGGGCATCGTGCCTGAAAGTTTCTATTGGTTTCTGTTTGGTTCATTGGAGAAAATACGTTCATAATGGAAGAGGTGGCCAGGCAGCCTTAAGATCACTAGGAGCAATACAATACAATAGCAGAGTTGGAACGGACCTTGGAGGTCTTCTAGTC